CTACAATCAATCCTTTGCTAATTTAGTCAATAAAGCACTTGAAAAAGACACAATTATGAATTATGTTATTGTGGAAAAACATCAGAAACTGGAGCTCCCATGGTCAACTGAATAAACCAAAACTACAGTGAAGAGAGAGTTGTCAGAAACAGGAAGGCCTACATCAACAAGCTTCTGTAACGAATGGCATTTCCATTGTCCCAACAAATCGTGAGACGAGGAAGCCTCCGAAAAGGGAGCATTGGATTTCGCAGGGCAGGGCAGAGGTTTCCGGCTCAGATTCCTGCTGTGATGAATTGCTTCTTCACTCCGGGCCCATCTTCCATATTGGGACCGGGGAATCAGGTTGCAATGATACAATTACTCCCCTGAAAGAATGCTCCAGCAGCTGGTTCCCCGCTGAGCAGTTTTTTGTCACCTGTAATCAGTAACTATAGTCAGGTATTGGAAACATCCAGACCCTAAAATTAACTTGACAGACAGGATAACTGTGTCCAGTGAACTGACAGGGGTGACATACACGACGTAGGATAAATCAATTGTGTGGTATCACTATGCCCTGACAGACACATACTGTAACATCATTTATCACAGTTAGAGTGGAAATTAAAATTGATGGTCTTAGATAGTATTTCTGTAGTACTGGTTGGTATCCCTTGAGATACATCAGTGCTTTATTTATATTGCACCAAGTGTACCGCATATTGAATGGACAGAGCTTTGAAAGAAGTTCCTATAAAATATGCCACTATGCTGTTTTGGTTCTCTCAGTACGAAAAAGATACATTTCAGCAAAAAAGGTACATTTACATGCATGGGTAGTTCATGTGTTCAAAGTTACACCTGAAGATAAATTTCTCATCGGGTTTGGAGTTACATGTCTATTCAAGAAGAGACACACCATTTTCCCATAAGAGACATTTCCTCAAAACTTTATTGGAGTACTGAAAAACATTTCCAAGGACACAAGGTCCAGGACAGAGGTCACGACCTCAGTGGCCTTTGTGAAATACAAGTCTGATTTTGATATGCCTATACTGTGACAGCAGAAATCAAATGCAAGTGCAACCCTGCTCGATTAGGCTTTTTTTCCAGACACTGCGAGACAAGCGCATGCATGGTGTCAACGTTTTTTTCTATTCCCCACAGAATTACACTGCAGGCAGGCTTGAGAGGGAGGCTAAGATTGCAAGGTCTACTTCATTATCTTGTAGGTTACACATTGAGCCCAGCGTGTGTGGAGGCCTTGAGCAAAATAGATAACATAAAAACCCAGACTGGCAACTGATATGCTCAGGACCACAAACATGTACATGTATGTATGTGACTCTCTTGTGTTTGCGCCAACCATATCAACAAGGGAAGACTCGATGTAATTGTTGTTGAACAACATCCCAAAAATCCCCAAGATCCACAAGGCTGGTAATCCAGGGAGGCCCATCGTTTCCGGAAATGGATCTCCCACTGAACACATATCATTGTTCATTGACACTTTTCTCAAACCCCTCGTTCCACAGATCCCGTCATATATCCACAACACATCAGACTTCCTCCATGAGCTGGAAAAACATCAAGAATCATAGGGACCTTTGATGTTTCTAAACCATATCAATTCTTTCCACAGGACAGTTAAGTTCACTTCAGAATATGCCCTCCATTAGGCCAACTTTCTCGATGTCAGCATCTGGAAGGAGAACAACCTCGTGACTACTGACCTGTACTCCAAGCCCACAGATACCAATCAGTATCTTCACTCGTCCAGCTGTCACCCTAGACATTGTAAGACTGGTATTGCATACAGCCAAGCATTCAGGTCGAGACACATTTGTTCTAATGATTCAGATTTCTCCCGTCATACACAGGCACTGAAGAGGCATTTGATTGCAAGGGGGCACAGCTATCACCAGGTTCAACGCTCTATCAATAGGGCCTGCTCCGTCCCTAGAAGTCTTGCACTCAAGGAGAAGACCCCATGAAGAAACAATCCCAGGGTTCCCTTGGTTATCACTTTCTATCCTCGTCTTCCTCCCCTCCGCAAAATAATCAACCACAATCATCATATCCTCCACACTTCAGACCGCCTAGCCACTGCCGTCTTAGACACCCCTCTTGTGGCCTACAGGTGTCCCCGCAACCTACAGGACCTTGTCATGTGGGCAGAGGTGCCCCCTTTGGATACCCTTCCCCCCACAAAGCAAGGCATGTTTCAAGTGTGATTCTAACAGATGTGTT